TCCCCTCTTCTGTTTCCTTTTTTTTCCTTCCCTGGGCAACCAGGAAAGTTGTGGTCGTTTTCACATTGTTGAATGGTTTCGGGTTCAGAAAACTCCAACCATCTCTCAGAGATGCAGGTAGAGGGAGGAGCGGGGTCGGGGGCTTAATAAAGTGCATTATTGTCTTAACTAGGCTTTGCAATGCAGTTAAAATTAATGCTGGGCTTTTTTGCATTACTAAGAAACACTAATAGACCAACTTGTTTTTATATAAAAATATTGGAAGGCTGCACCTTTTGTTTTTTTTTTCTTGGGGGCAGTGTGTGGCGCCCCCTAGATGGACGGCGCCCTTAGCATTGGCCGGCACTGGGTGGAACCCTCTTTAGGAAGGGGATTACGCCGTCCTGCTGCTACTTCCTTTAAAGTGTCTTTTGATTTTAACACTTCTTTCTTGGAAATAGCTGGGAGGCAGGTTGGCTTCAGCTGGACCTTATTGGTTTCTTGGTAGCTCAGCTCCAGCTGCGATTATTGTATTGTTTCATGGACCGAGTTTGGGTAGTTCCGAATCTGAACATTTACCTACATTGATTGACCCTTTGATGCACCTTCGAAATTGATACCTTTGCACAAAAATGTGCTCCTGAAAATGAAGCTGTACAATATCCTGAATTAATATAAGACAGTTCACCTCTGGGTCTCCCTAATGGAACGGACAAGAGGGGGAACGGGGCATCAACTGTAAGTCAGTCACACCTCGACTTTCTTCCAGAATAGACGCACATTTCATTCATAACTATAATAAAGTACAGGCCTATAGTTCATGCCACATTTGGTGTGTTGCTGAATTGGGTGTGAAATGGCTAACAAAAATATGTAATAGAAAATGATTATGTGGTCACCAAGGGGGTTTTGTTTAGAATATTCAATTTTTTGTACATAATTTGTAATATTATATATTATTGTTGCTCTCTGCTCTTGTTACTTTTTTATATATCTGATTGTATATATTTTGGCACATTTATGTATATAGTGTATATTTATGGATGTCCTTGTGGTTCTCTAAGTTCTGATAACTTATAGTGTCATATTTTGTGGGGCGCTCAAAGGGGGCCTCGCCCAGGGATAGAACCGCCACTGGGCGCAGTGTAGTACCTCTCTATCGTGCCAGGTATGAAATGAGAACAGACGCATACTTACATGCATACATTCCCACAAACACATCCACACAAACTTAATGCCTCAGAGCTTGTGTGGAGAGATGAGGGGGAGGATATAGTGAGGGTGCCCTCTATTGGAAAAAGCAGGTAATTTCTCCATTTGCCATATATGGTAAAATTACATCATCTGGAAGGGAATCCCTTAGAGCACACACTTAAAAGCCTCAGGCCTCAAATGAAGCGGTGAAATGAGAAGATGCATGTTTTATACTTTTTATTCGAGCAGGATCAAAAATATAAATTTGAATGGGTTTCAATCTGCACATTTTTGTATGTAGGGACATTAACAGGTCTATTTCAGGCCACATTATATATATATATATTATATAATAGGCTAAAAATAATGAAAACAATTGACAACACTCAAACATGCACAACCTTGCATAAATCAGCAACAATATACATGAAAACAGAATAAATTATGATAGAAATTAAAAGGCAAAAACATAAAAATGTACGTGGGTGCATCAAAGAGTGAAGAGTTACTAAAGTGAACAGAGGAACCTGGAGAATTGTAATGCAGGATGACAGGCCTAAATAAAAATAAATGTACATATATAAATATGTAAATAATATGTTATAAAAATGTATAACCAGAAAATATGTACAGTATGTAGTAGGGTTGCTGCAGTAATGACTCCACCCACATGGACTCAAATGCCTCCCCTTCAACTCTCCAGCACCGGCCTGGAGAGGCTTTTAGCTTTATCGTGCTGAAAGTTGATGTGTATTAGAGACCACATCCTGTCATTCCCCCATGGTAAAAATGCCATCTGAAACAATATGTTAAATTACAAAAGAACACGTGAATATTTTACACCACCCCTGTAAGGTTAATCCCATCCAAATGGGGCTGAAGGTGAAGTTGCTTTGTGTGTGTGTGTGTAAAGAGTTCCTGGCAGGGGTCTGAACTGTAATGCATTCCCGCTGTTGTCACCCACTCAAGTGAGCTTCCAGACTGTAAACAAGCTATATTAGGGAATGGTGAAGTGGTGGGGGTCGGTTGGTTGTTGGACGCAGGAGCAAACGATGCAGTGAGTAAATGCCGATGGAAGTGCAACAACAGGCTGTCACTCAGGTTACAGAGTGTTTCCAGACACTGAGCAACTGATAGAGAATGTTCCTTTATAGAAAAACACCTGCCAGGAACACATAGACAGCTGCTGCTGTCGGTGAGGAGACATACAGTAGGAAAGCTGATGCTGGTGGATTCAATATTTTGGTTTTGATGATTAATATTTTATAATGATATTATATTCTGCCCTCACTATTTGTGTAGATGCACAGCTGTGCAGTGAGCTGATCATATTTCTGTTAAAAGGTCCAGTGTGTAGGATTTAGTGGCAGATCACACCACCCTCGCTTCACCCTCCTCTTCCAAGCACCAAGGAGAAACTACATTGGATGTGAAACACACAAAAAACGCCAACACCCCTATCTAGAGCCAGTGTTTGGTTTGGTCTCTTCTGGGGCCCTACGTAGGAAACATCGCGTGGCTTCAACATGGAGGAGTCTGTAGATATAAAAGGCTCATTCTAAGGTAACGAAAACACGATTCTTTTATTAACACTTATTATTTTCAGGTGATTATACAATAATGAAACATACCTATGAATACTATATTACATTTTGCTAGTAGATCCTCCTAAATGTTACACACTGGATCTTTTAGGACTTGTTTAAACTGCAGATACGGATGGGTTTGGGAAGGAGGAGCCTGGTTATGGAGGGCTTTGT